AAAATGAAAACCCTGGGCCTGGAATTGGAGAAAATCATGGATTTATGTAGATTGGAGCAATTACTTTCAGTGAACCAAGCATTACTTTCAATGAGATGGTGAAAGATGACTCACATAACACAAGACTGGAACATCAGTTTGTCATTATGCAATACTCAAGATCTTGGTATGATATACAGAAGAAACTACAAGCTATGAAATATGGCCTAACAGCTATATGGGCCACTGATGTTTACCAAATCCTTTTCTAGTCATGGTCTAACGTTTTCTGGATCAGTTCCAGTTAGAACCGATCCAAGTGGGGGTATATGTAGTATATTGTGTATAAAATATACACACATTGTATATTGAATGAAAATACATAGACCAGTGATAAATCCAATTACACATTAAAAGGGAGGTGACAGTACCTGTATAAAGGTAACTAGAAAAATGTTATTTGGTCATCTGTTTACTGTCCTGGGTAAGGGGGTTGTAGACACTGTAGCTTAATTGTAAGTCTTAATTGTTGCTTTTATTGAAATTAAAGTAGCGTCCTTTCAAGTTCAGATGAAAAGTGCTTGACCAACCAATCAGTTGTTTTTAGATGGGGAGAAGAAACTATATCTAGAAAAGATTTTTTGATTGCTGACATGACATCATGATGGAAGCATAGGCCTAGAAGGCAACACACATTCTTGCATACATGGAAGCTACTTAGGTGCATATTATAGATTGAAAATATGTTGGACAGGTAGAATATCTCTATGCCTGCTAATGTATCTTCAGAGAAGGATTGGGTACGTTGAAAGCTTCTGATCATGGTATTATTGGAAAAACTCTGTTTTATTATTGTGGAGTCTGTTCTGTGCTGGGACCCAAAAAAAATGCAAGCCTCTCTGGAGAATTGAGTTGCTCCGAGAAAATTCATTTATTGGATAGAGGAGTTTTGCATTCCATATTGGCTAGCAAACTCTTGCCTCAACAACAAAAATTATAATTGTCACTCCCCCCATCTGTGTGATGTATGGCAACACATACCACCTAGTTTCTGAAATACCGGTTTGAGAATGATAACTGGGGTATTGCAAAACATATATACGTAAGAATTTAGGCAAAAACAAATATTTTTAGCAGATTCACCACCCAACTGGGGTAAGGGGAAGGGATAGCCAGTGAACACAATTACATGTAAATTTAGAGACATTTATTTCAAGGTAATCAGCCATTGTCCCCCCTACCCAGATCCCCAAGTAAGTAAAGTCATTGACCCAGCAGAGCAGCGTCTGTGTGTCCAAGCAGGGAACAGAAGGATGAAGTGGGAAAAAATATTGATTTTTCCCAATTGACACAGATTCCCGAAAAACATCCGAAGCAGTCAATTGATATCCAACACCGAATGAAGCAAAGAGGTCATATCAGCCAGATACAACAAGGAGACGTTGGGATTTAAAGAAAGTTTTCTCCTCAATGGAGCCCACTACAATACCTCGCACCGCAGGAGCAGCTCTAAGAAGAATGGCAAGGGGTTCTAAAGCTAGAAAAAGTCCCAGTAGAGAGGACAACTCTGGCTTGTCCCTCGACTCAAGTACAGTCGGGGGTAGCATGGGGGGTGGACATTGAGCAGGTGCAACCGGGAAATAAAACGTGGACCAAACCCACAGGATGGACCAGTGCTGTTATCACTGTATTAAGACAATTTGCTAAAACCTTTGAGAGTATCTTCGCGTCTGCATTCAGATGATGCTATAAGAGGAGCATAAATCAGGGCTTTTCTCAGGCTTCAGGATCACCACAATCACCGCATTGCTCATTGAATCCAGAAGTAAATCCTCCTCCCAGGACTTAACCAACAGAGTGGATACGAGGAAGCAACTCCTGAGCATAATGTTTAAAAAAATCTACAGGGACCCCATCACGTCCTTACCTGACTGATGAACACTCAGGCCCTGATTTCCTAATGTGCCTAGGCGCATTTCCGTGGGCGAAACGTCTACTTTTCAATAGCGACCGTCTACTTTTAGATGGCAAAGACATTTACTAAAGAAAGCGTCAACAAGTAGATGCGAAATCGAATTTGCTAACCAGGCACAATCCAGGAATCAGTCTAAGAAAGCAGACTTGCTAAGAAGCACATCTAACACAATGTAAAATCACTGCAGAGACATGTTCACATTGAAATTTGCTTTCACAAATATCGGGACTTCACTTTAAACAATATCTTACATTTCCCAAACATTTTAAAATGTGTAAAAAATAGTTTTTTAAAAGAATTCATGACAGTCAAGAATTAGACGCTTTTCCAGCGTCTATGCATGGATATAAATGTGCATGTGCTGAACACATTTTAGCCATCTGCCATGGGCACTTTCTTTTTAGACGCTGTTTAATAGTAAATCCCAGTGTGGAGTCCACTGACAGACGACACTCGATCGCGTCTACTGTGTTTAAGAAACAGCACTATTTGTAGCTAGGCATATCTTTATGTATTCTAATTTGATTTCATTAGTTCTATTGATTCTGTTTTTGTTTCTTATCCTTTATAATTATTTCTGTAATGGTTTTACATATTTTGAAGGTCTAGATAATATATTTTGACAGCGGAATCTAAAAATAAAGGTCGGCAATTAAAAAAAAAAACGGTGTGGGGTCCCCCCTCCCATCCATACCAAGGTCTGGTATGGATCTTAAGGGGTAACTCCAGGCCAAAATTTAAAAAAAATGGCGTGGGGTCCCCCCCAAAATCCATACTAGACCCTTATCCGAGCATGCAGCCCGGCAGATCAGGAAAGGGGGGGGGGCGAGCCACATGCCCTCATGGGATCTCACGGGATCTGGGGGCCCCCTTGTTAAATTCTGATAAGCCCCCTGCCCGCAGACCCCCACAAACACCGGCCAGGGTTGTGGGGAAGAGGCCCTTGTCTCAACATGGGGACAAGGTGCTTTGGGGGGGAGCCCCCTGCCCCAAAGCACCCCCATGTTGAAGGCATGTGACCACACACCATGTGACATCATTGAGGCCCTGCTCTTTACATATTTAATAACTGTCAACCAGGCTCACAGCATGGGAATGGAACCTTTTTTTTTTCTTTTTTTCAGTTTGCCGGCTGCGGGCTTCGTGATTGACGTTGGATCTATTTTGGGGGACATTCTTTTAGATTTTTCTTTTATTAAAGGACTTGTCAAAGACCGTGTTTTGTCTTTTTTTTACACTACTTTGTTTTTTTGTGAATGAGTAGCAGTACCATGTACCCCATACTCATTCACGTAGGGGGGGGGGGGGCTGGATATGGGGGGCCCCCTTGTTAAAGGGGGCTTCCAGATTCTGATAAGCCCCCTGCCCGCAGACCCCCACAACCATCGGCCAGGGTTGTGGGGAAGAGGCTCTTGTCCCCATCAACATGGGGACAAGGTGCTTTGGGTGGAGCCCCCCCTGCCCCAAAGCAACCCCCCATGTTGAGGACATGTGGCCTGGTATGGTTCGGGGGGGGCGCTCGTTCGTCTCCTCCCCTTTCCTGACCTGCATGCTCGGATAAGGAGTTGGTATGGATTTTGGGGAACCCACGCCATTTTTTTAAAAAATTTTGGCATGAAAGTTCCTCTCTAAATACATACCAGACCCGAAGGGCTTGGTGTGGATGGGAGGGGGGACCCCACGCCTTTTATTTATTTATTATGGTGGTTCAGTTGTCACTTCCCCCAGCTAAAAAAGTTTTTTTCTTTGAGTTTATATCCCTAAAAGAAACAATGTTTACTTTTAGTTTATTAAAAGATACAAAGTTTTTCTGTTACTTCAGGGAAAGTGACATCTAAGCTTGTGAACTATAGTGAAGAAAAAAAAAAAAAAAAAGGCTGGCATTTGCATTTAACCATTTCCTGTCCGGACACTAATGCAGGCCATAGATGGGTCGAAAATCAGCCGATTTTCGGATCGTTAGTGGGGGGGGGGGGAGAGGGAGGGAGGAGGAGGAGGATCGAAAATCGGCCGATTTTTGGATCGTTAGTGGGCTATTTGTTCGACCGTTTTTCGGTATTTTGGCAGATTTTTTTTATCGGTAAAGTTGGAAAAAAAATCAGCCGATTTTCGCGGCAATGATGGGCAAATTGGCTGATTTTTTACCGATAAAAAATCGGAGGAGGAGGAGGAGGAATGAAAAATAAGAGGAATTCCAGTACGGCAAAAAGTGTCCCTGCAGAGAGCTCTGCTATTTCTTTGACAGTTCCTTGACATTTACAGCGGTTGCAACATTGTATCTATTTGTTTCCGAATAAAAACATCTGTATCCTAAATGGATACAAATAGATACATTGTTGCAACCGCTGTAAATGTCAAAGAACTGTCAAAGAAATAGCAGAGCTCTCTGCAAGGACACTTTTTGCCGGCTGTAGACGGGATGAAAATCGGCCGATGTTTTTTACCATTGCTGGTAACGTCGGCCGCTTGAACGACCGATTTTTCGTTTTTTAAAAGAAAAATCGTCCGTTTTTCTTCCCGTCTATGGCCTGCATTATACCCCCTCCTGTCCAGGGCAATTTTCAGCTTTCAGCGCTATCACACTTTGAATGACAATTGCGCGGTCATGCAACACTGTACCCATATGCATTTTTTACCATTTTTTTTGAGACAGATAAAGCTTTATTTTGGTGGTATTCATTCACTGCTGGGATTTTTATTTTTTTTGCTATGTAAATTAAAAACTCCAAAAATGTTGAAAAGTGTTTTTCTTATAAAATTTTGCAAATAAATATTTCATCATAAATCTTGGCCAAAATTTATTCCGTTATCTTTTTAGTAAAAAAAAAAAATAAGCCAAATTAGTTTATAACCAAAAATTATAATTTAAAAAATTTTTTTTTTACATACTGTCACTCTAGCAGTACAGTGTCACCATGGTGACACTGTACTACTTGTGGAGGGTGATGAAGATTTTTTTTTTTTTTTTTTACACCTATATAGAATGTAAAAGCAATCATTTCTCTTTCTCTCTGTCTGCATTCTTGCAGCCATTGAGAACTACTGAGTGAGTCGTGATTGGTCACAGCTTGTCACATGGTACAAGGCTGTTGTGAATAGCCTTGTACCATGTGACCTCTGTGATCATTCACAGATTTCACACGTAGTAAGCAATGATGTCAGAAGTGACATCTTGCTTACTACTTTGCATGTGATCACTGATTGGCCAATCAGTGATCACTGATTGGCCAATCAGTGATCACTGATTGGCCAATCAGTGATCACATGATCGGGACCTCGTACAGAGGTCCCGTCTGACGATCGGTGTTTCACACTGTGTCCGGAACGGCCACCCGACCCTGCAGTGCCACCGTCCGGCTGTTTATATACAACGGCCGGATGGGAGGTGGTTAAAAATCAGCGCCGACATACACTTTGTATTGCGAAAAATTACTACCAATTGTGTAAACCGAGGCATTATTTTCAATGGATTTTCATTCATAAACCAAAAATTATGTTAACCGAGGCATTTGTAAACTGAGGTACGCCTGTATTAGTTTGAACCACACCAATATGACCGCTCTAATAGCGGTCACATTGAGTGCGACTTGGCATGTGATTTGCATGACATGCGACTTGCAAATCGTATGCCAAGTTGCACCCTATTGTCTGCTATTAGAGCGGTCACATGGGTGCGTTTCCGACACCCGATTTCTAAAGTAGTACATATACTACTTTTGTGGTGATTTGCATAGATATCTGTGTCGAATGTCTTGCAAATCACAAGGAAATCGGCATCTTCACTGTAAGTCGCACGATTTCTAAATCTGCTTTCATGTGACTGGGGTGTAAGGCCTTTTTATGTTTGATTTCCTGAGTGTTTTTCCGATTTATGGGAAATCCTGCATACTAGCAAAAGTGAATTGACATTTTCAGTATTGCATGTGAGAAGTGGTCATGCGATAATCTGGAGTGCATTGTGCCCATAGTGCCAATAAATATTGCCATGGGGTTCCCTTTCACATCCCTGTTCAATGTTCTGTTGTATGCTGCACAGGTACACTTCACTGTGGCTTTCTTTCGGACTCTGATTTGTGGGGCCTGTATACCAAGGGTTAATGCAGGTGTGAGGATTCATCAGGTGCAAACACTTTCCCTGACCAAAGGAATGACAGTGGTGGGTGTGGTCTATGTTATATAAAGAGTTGCAGTAGTGGGTGATTTTGCCTTGTAATGGCCCAGACCACACACTGTGTTTTGATGTGGGCTGTAAATGTTTTGCATTTTTTTTTCCTTCTAAGGTGTGTTATTGTACAATGATTGTGTGTTTATTATCTTTGCATTGTAATCCTAACACATGTCAATTGCTCTGCTCTTCCAAATCTGCACTTTGCTATAGTTTGCTTATTTAGACTGAAATGCAGTTATCGGACAAACCTGATGAGAAATGTATGTGTGGGGGATTTGGTGAGGTGGGAGGTGTTTGTTATTTTAGCACATATATTTTTATATTGATATTTTGATCTGCTGTTAATTCATATTAACCGTTTGTTTCCTGCTGTAACCTGTGAAAGCACAGTTCATTAGAAGTATAATCTGTTAGATTGTAAACTCTTATGAGCAGGACCGTTCTATTTCAGCAACATCAATCCTGCTTTTTTTTTTTTTTTTCCCACCAAGAAATTGACTACCTACTTGTTGCTGCTGTCCAAATAAATGTGGAATATGTATTTGATCAATAAATGTTTGGACTATGTTTATTTTTGGGGGGGTTATTTCATGTTCAAGTTCAATATACTAGCACCCCTAACACATATTTTGCGAGCTATATAATATGCCCAAATCTAGCTTGTTAGTTTGGTCATACTTGCATATGTGCACTCTAACAAACTAAAAGCCCCCTATGGCACCACAAGACGATGTTATGTACCAATGACTAGGTCGTGTTCAATGTGCAGCTAGCTATTCTTTTTCTACAATCCTCTTTAACAGTAATAAATTAGGCCCTCAATTTATGTTGACTTTGGGCCTTTACCGGAAAACATATATTCACTAATGTCATATACACAATAGTGCTGCAAATATATATTCGCCAATGCCAAATACACAGAGCTGAAAACATATATTCACCAATGCCAAATCCACAATAGAACTGCAAACACATATTTGCAAATGTCATATACACAATGGAGCTGCATGGAAAATTGCTATGGTGCACAAATAAACACCAAGACAGCTGTTGGAGGAGACGCTAGAGCAGCTGTCATACTGGAAATACATCATCACCTTTGCAGAAGGACATTTGCACACACCCGGAAGTGGTAGTGGGGAGTGTTAGTGGATGGGAGTGTAGTTAGGAAAGTTTAGTGGTAATTTGCAAGTCTATTTTTTAGCTTTGTGAATTGTTCTTTTGTGGAATTCTAGACCACATCTGGACATAGCGAAATCGCTGTTCTCGACCAAGGAGCTGATCCTCATTTGCAGGGGAAACATTACTAATAATTGTATTTTCAGTTGAAAACATGTCCAATTCCTAGATACATTGAGGTACATAGCAGAGCTTCAAAATATTCCATAGAAGAAGTTATTGTTGTTCCTAACATACAGGTGGCACAGACACAAGCATACACCCAGGGCCACTGTTAGATATCACAGGGCCCCATACAGCATACCTGACTTCCCCCCACCGCCAGAAAATATCCAAATTATATTTATGGTAAAAATAAACTAAAAACATTATTAATGAACACAATTCCAACCATATTCCTGTGAAATCTAAATGATAAAACTGTACTGAGTTCATAAATAAAGCTGTGTGCTCATTCACATGGGTGCTGTGGCCTGTAGAGCGTGAATCAGTGGTTTGTTTTTTTGGCTGTCGCTGTTTGCAGGCAATCTATGTTACACTATGGAAATGCTGCAGGTCCTAATTTGACAAACATATGGGTGCAGGTGTACAGCCCTGAACACAGACAGTGAGCATTCAAGGCCACTTCCCCACACCTTCACACCTGTCAGATTAAAACCTATAGTCATACAGCTGCTGTGTCCCCACAGTGTAACAGGTGGCTCCAGCCACATGAACAAGCTACTGATTCATGCTGTACAGACCAGAGGACCTGTGCGAATGTGGCATTTTTTTTTTCCCCCTCAGCTCATAAATTTTAATGTGCTGCCTAACATGTGGGAACATGCAAAAATACTGCAGGCATATTATTTTAAAAGGTGTGTTGCACCTAACCGCACAGTAATGTGGTGCCATGCGTTTTGGTGGCTGTGAATGCGTCTGTGTTTACTAGACGTGTGGAGGTGCAATTAAGTTTTCATCATGGTACCTGCGCACATCTGCAGAGGGCATTGCATTTCTTTGTTGTGCTGGAAAAAACATGCTCTTGCATGCGTTTCTGCACCACAAATGGTGTGAACAAGTAATAAGGGCCAGTTCACACTAAAGAAACAGTCTAGATGTTTTCTAGATGCATTTTTGCATGCATGGTTAGTGTGTTCCAGTACATTTTGGATGCATTTTGGACATGTTGCGGTGCATTTGTGTATCCCTTCTAGCTAGTCTTTTTCAACTTTCTTTTTATTTAATTTAATTAGGGACATGTGCATTTTAGTGCATTCAAGGGCGTTTTACCGAGTTCCAGTACAGTTTTGTGCAGAAATAATGCAGCATGGTGAACTTTTTGAAAGCACCTGCAACGCACTGGAAATGCAAGTGCTGATGTGAACTATGACATTGACAACCATATAACCTTCTTTCTGTGCATTTGTGATGCCGAAAAAAGCAACTGAAACACATGTAGTGTGAACTGGCCGTAAAGGTTATTATAAGTAAGGGAACGGGACTGACCAGGAATTGTGAATTCAATCAGACTAGTGGTGAGATACAATTAGGAATCGTATAATAATGCGAGATCTGAGCTGTAGATGATAGAAAATGAGACACTTTAACATGATCGGTAAATAAATAGTTAAATAAAAAGAGTGGGCCGGAGATACATAGTTGCAGATGGAACAGGTGATGATGGGGGTGGGGGAAGGGGTCAAGTTGTATAAGGAGACAGGTTTAAAAGAAGAAAAACAAAGTTGCAATGAAATATAAACCGCATGAAACTTGCAAATTTCAAACTTGTCAGAAGAACAGAACGCAGGTAAGATTCACTCCCTTTCCACTTTCTAGTCATTAGCCAAAATGTTAATTGATTGATCAATATTCCTGGCACTGACACAACCCAGAAAATTGATCTCCATTTTTTGTACATTCATAAATGTCAAGAAGTTTACAATCTAAGAGCAGAAACGCAGACATATACTAGGCTCAATTAACCTAACAGCATGTCTTTGAAGTGTCGGCAGAAACACATCCATGCAGGGAAAACATGCAAACTGGGATGCAGCCATGACTGGGTTTAGAACCCATGACCCAAGTGCTGTAAGTTTTGAGTTCTAACCACTAAGCCACTGTAGGAGACAGAGTTTGAGTTGGAATGTAGAATAGTTACATGATTAAAGAGAAGGAAGATATATCATTATATCGGGAACTTAGAACTAGACATTCCCAATTATTTGAGATACAAGTGTGAAAATGTTTGACATTTGAAAATAGAATGTATGACAGTCATTAGTAAATGCATTAGTTGTCCAATCATTTTGGAGAAACAGCAACCAAAAAAAATATAGGTGTACTTTTATTTTAAATTATAAGTATTCTCATATGCAAACAGAAAAACGCCAAATGGGACAAAGCCCGCAGTTGTGCGCCACCTAGCGAACATATCCGGCATTGCCTCTAGAAATGTGCCTGACGCGATTTCGGATTTATTAACAGGAAAAGAGTCTACAAAGTAGACTCTTTTCAATGAGCTTGCTAGACGCCTTTCTGAAGACTGACAGATCTTGATTGATTGAATTGAGTCTGCCTGAATGTTCAGCGTCTGCTGGTAGACTCAATTCTTAGTAAATCAGGGCCTCAATGTCACCTGTACTTTTTTCAAAATAATTGGAGAATCCAAGTTTTCCTGGTACCTAGAGGTAAGAACCAGGAAGCCAACCTCAGATAGGTATGCTTGCAAAGCACTAGCAGCATAGTTCGCCTGAGAGCTATAGAGTTGTCTGGTACTAGGAGGCAAAACAATCATTAATCTCCACAGGATTAGATAATTATCCAGTAGAGCCTAATATTTTGGCAGCAGCTGTGTGTTCCTTGGCCAACCAAGGCAGTAGTTTCATATTTCTTTCACCCTGTTCAAAGAAATATGAAACTGGTGTAACAGACTTTTTTTTTGTCAGACTTCCACAGGAGAAAGACATCTCTGGTATATTTTTAACATTTTGTATAAGCTGATAATGTATGTCTCCCAT